TTGCCAATAGCTCTGTAGCATCTACTGACAAATAGTTGGTTACTCTTTTCTTAATATAAAATTCAAACATTGGAATATATACTGCTGCACCTGCATAGCCTGTATCAGGATCCTTGGATCCATCTGTAAATAAAACCATTGACTGTGGGAAATGTTTCTCAAAATATTTCTGGACTAAATACCATATCGGGAGTTGATTAGAATTGTCTTTCAGTTCCTGCTGTATACTAAGGTCAACAGTTGGCAAGGGGAATAACCAGGGAGGAATAGAGGAAATTGATACTGTATTACTGTACTGTAATCGATGTAATCTTATATTTCTTGCTTTAGCATCACCTATCCACCCAAAACTTGTAAAATTGGTTTCATTATGTTCCCAGCATTCTTTTGATACACTTTTGACAGGATGTTGAGCCGCTTTTCATAATAACAGTCTGGCTTCTTTACAGTTTTGTTAAAAATGATCTAAATCAAATCAAATTGAAACAAGCAAGCAAGTAAGTAAATAAATAAATAATAAAAAGTATTATTTTTATTATTATTTTCATTATTATTTTCATTATTATTAATTCGTATAATCATTTGCTATAATGAGATTTATTTTAGAGTGTTTCTTCTCTTTGCAGGACATAAACAGTGTGTATGCACATATGTTTAAAAATAGGGGGTCGTTGAAATTATTCCTTGCCTTTTCTGTGGATGTATCTTTGAATATCATGTATATGTAATGTTTCCAGCCTGTTTTTGGAACATATCCGTGTATTTAGCCTTCACATCTGTATGCTCAGACCAGGTCTCGTATTGGTTGGATCCACACCCCTTTATCTCCGGCTGAGATGGTATGTTCCGCTTGTTTAATAGTGCGCTCGGAACGCTAATGCTGGAATAGTGTGAGTGATGTTCAGAGGCGGCTGCGATCATGAACACTGCATGATATTAAATATTCACTGGATATGCTGACGCATTAAATTGGCTTAAGGTAAGCGCCAATTAATTCCAAATGATTATGTTATTTAATATAAGAATAAGTTGTTGAATATGGATGTGAATTAAAAAAAAAGAGGGAAAATACACCGAATTTCTATAAAAGGAAATTTAACTTGAACCGGACTTTTTATAAGTGCTCCACAAAGGAAAGAATAACCGTCTAAGAAGACTTTTTCTTGGCTTTTTGAATGACAGGAGGGACATTTTGAGGATGCCCAAAATGTTTGACAATAATATGTTGTTTTATATTATAACTGCAGTAGGCCTATAGTTTTATTTTAATGCATTGCATTTAATGTATTGTTTATTATGTGAGTGTTTATCTTTGGGCTAATATAATTTAAGAAACCCAGAGAGGAAGTTCTCATCCTTTATTTATTTATTGTTTGTTTGTGTATAATTTAATTGAAGACTGTCTTTGTGGAAGACTGGATGTGATATCTGCACTGATTCAGTATTAAGTTTCCAGTTAGAGATCACTGTTAATGGAAAAAAGTCACTTCTTTATAAGAATAACACATGTTTGCATCTGGATATGCAAGCTTTTTTTTCCTTCTGTATCATAACTTTATCATGTAGTTTTAAAAATAATATGGCCTTCAATCTTGCATGGTATGAATAAAGCCATTCTGCCCTGGTTGTACCATGGTATTCCTTCAAGTGCTGTGTGTAAATATGATGTTGCATGAATATGGTAATCATTCAGTATAATGGTATTACCATCTGATACAATCAAAATGCTATTTGAGTTAAAGTGGCTCAGAATTATATTATTTAATTAAGCAGCAGTTTTGATGCAAACTACGTGTAATTGAAACTCATAGATGCTGTATCACTGTTGGTATGTCCTCATTGATCGATCTCCGAGCAGCAGGGCTTTTACATCCAGGCGGACACTCATGGAAGACTGCCATGGAAAAACCCAGTGAATTATAATGTCTACTCATAGCTGCTGTCTATAAATTACCAAAGAGTTGACGTCCTGTTTGTCTGGCTCACACACATGCTTTAAAGATCCAGCCATTGAAATGACTGAAGAGCAGTCTGCACAGAGCAATGGCTGTGCACTCACAAACTGAAGTGGCACTGTAATGTCAATCTATTGATGAGTGCTGGGTGCATGTTTTGTTGTAAATTAGCCTCGTTACATAAAGATGCTCATTGTGCTTCCATGTTTATGGCTGCTGCACTTCAATAATGCTATCGTGTTTTCCAGCAAGAGCTTTTAGTGAATCATGTTTGTCTCTTAGGATGCCGTAGTAGATTTTAATGAAGACCAGATACTCTAGATTTTTCAAACATCTGTTAAATGCTTTCATGTAAAAGCCTGAGGAAGAAAATCATGTGATTTGTGGATGGATATAATTGTTGTCTTGGTAAATTTATCCTGGTTGGTGTAGATTGTGGATCTTTGTCGCTGTTCAGTGCTGAAATCCCTTCCCATTTTAGACTGGAGATTTGTGGTAATATTCTGACAGATTTCTGGAAGTATTATCCATGGAAATAAAATATAACATAACATATATAATTAAAATAGTTAAAACGTTATGTCCGTTCAGCCCGGCCAACTAATATTTGTATATTTTTCATCATTTAAAAAGTGACCATCATAAATAGCTGCATGTGAGTTGAAACATGCACATTAGGAAAGTGAAAAACATTTTTATGTTAAAAAGCATTTTTTTTTTACATCAAAGTAATACTTCTATATGGCTGGTAAAATTCATTATCATCTCAAAAGTATTCCTGTCTTACAATTTTTTTATATTGTTGAATTATCAGTGTAAAAAAGAATAAAATAAAATAATTAAGTCAAGTCAAGTCACCTTTATTTATATAGCGCTTTTAACAATACAGATTGTGTCAAAGCAACTGAACAGCATTAATTAGGAAAATAGTGTGTCAATAATGCAAAATGACAATAGTAAACACTCATTTTTCAGTTTAAAGACAGTTCATCATTGAATTAATTGAATTAATATGGTTGCAGGAAATTCTTTTAATGTTACAAGTACTGTTAATGTTTTAGATATTTTGATTATTAAACCATTTCCTGGCTTATTTATGAATTTGTGCAGCAAAATAAGACAGCATTATGGAATGTGATTCAGTTCAGTTAGCAGACACCCTAAATATATTTAGACGTGTGAGGTTTAACTTATATGATTTCTTCGTGCCTAGAGGGAAATGTAAGTAAAGTGGCACAGTTTATCCCACTCTTTCCTATATTACTTCAATGAAGTAAAAAGACCATAAACTATATGTTGTGACTATGCATGTACTTCTGTAATAAACCGCTACTCTCCCAGAAGAAACCCAGCATGCTGTCTTAAAAATTGACCAAAGAGACAGATTTGTTTTTAATCCACCTTCATCTAAACACTGCTGTGGTTAAGAAGAGAAAGAATTTTTATTTTTTTACCAATGTCTTTTTTTGTTGTTCACTAGTTATGGACATTGTCATAGAGTAATTAGCTCCATCAAGCCTCTGTAAGTAATGACTGTTTTTTTATTCTCTCCCAGAGGCCACGTCCCTCCAATCTAGTGTGCTGAACTTTGGTAGTTTCCTGCTGTTGTGTGATATATGGACCAGATGTTTATTAATGAGGCTCATTAGTGACTAGAAATTAGTGTTTACTTTGTATTTATACCTTATCAAGTCACATTTATTTATACAGTCATCCAAGCAGCTTCACAGAAATGAACAGTAAAATAACAGTGAAGTCATATCATAAGTGATGATTTTTGCAACAATGACTTCTGTTGTAAAGCAGCTCTACAGAATACAATTGTCATAATTCAGTCCAAATTAGTTCAGTGTTGATTCAATTTAGTTCAATAACAGTCTCAGTGTTGCAAAGTTTATCAGTTATGAAACAAATTCAGTTCAGCTATAAAGCAGTTCTACAGAAGGCAGTTGTATATTTAAGCTCAATTGAGTCCAATGCTGATACAGTTCAGTCCAATGAATGTGTCGATGTTGCAAAGTTCATCCATTTTGCAACAAATTTGATTCAGCTATAAATCAGCTCTACAGAAGACAAATCATAATAGACTTCATGCATGCATTAAAATACAGTGAATTTATTTTATATGCATCAGCCTGAAATCCTTAGTGTTTAGTCATGGTCATGAGCAATTTGATTATAGTGCACTGGTTCTGTTTTTATCTCAGGCGGAACAATTACCGTTGTCATTTCGTGCTTTGGCTTACTGTAATGAAACCAGATGGCCAGAAGATCATGCTCAATTAAGGAAAATCCATTTCCATTCATAAAGTTATCCATTATCGTCTTCAGTTAATGTCCCTGTTTCTTTTCATCAATATTAAGACCAGAAGCCATTCTAATCTTGCTGTCCATTGTGTACAGTCTGCTGCTTTTATACTTTCCCAATCCCAGATTAAACATGTCTCCTTTTGCTTGATGTATTCAAATCTTGGATATACCAATGATTTTTACCTATGCTTTGTGGTTGAGGCAGGTTGACTGTCAGGCAGTTTGGTAAAGCAGAAGGTTTACCAGTGTGTCTTACACAGGCCTTATTCATACATTATTAATGCACTCTGTTTGGACGTGCAGCCCTAGTTGACATATGTCTTATCTTCCACTAATCTCATTAGCTAACAAAGATTTTGACAAGCACAAAAAGTTTTGGGACCCTAGCTAGTGCACGGCTGAAATAAGACCTGTGCTATGGCAGGTGTCTGCAAATATTTGAATAATATTAAAATATTCAGTGTCATCCATTTAAATAGAGAGAGAGATGAAAAACAGGAATTATAGGCGTTAGCATTTTAATACCCTTCAGGGCAGGTCTATTAAAGCTGATTCTTGGTTTCTTATTGACAATATAATTGAGTTAGCAGCACAAAGTTAGCTCTAATGTTATCAGCCAAAGTGGACAACGCTCTTAAAATAAAGGTTATATATTTGCATCAGTGGTTCCATGATGAAACTTTAACATCCATGGAAACACATGCACAAAAGGTTCTTTATAGTAACCGTTCCCTGAAAGGTTCTTTGGGGAACCAAAAACGGTTCTTCTACTGCATTTCTCCGAAAACCCACTATTGGAACATTTATTTTTAAAAGTGAATCTTCATTTACATTTCTTCATCTGCATTTTGGTTAAATTACATATAACCTTAGACTGTAGGCAGGAAATCTACTAGCTAATTCCTTGGTAAACACCATCTGGTTGGTAATTAGTGGACAGAAAACAAACATTGTTTGTTGACAAAAATATCGAGGTCCCTCAGATTTTGCTCAAGACTGTTGGATTGTGACTGTCAGCTGTAATTTGCTCAGCCATACAGGTCACACCCCCTACAGAGATGAGGTTATTGGTTCTTGGATTTTTTTTTAACCTGATACCATGAGATGGTGATTGAACCTCACCCTGTAACCATACTCTTCTCCTACAGGTCCACTCCATAGAGCTGGCCTATCACTGTCATTGTGTCACCCATCCAACACAGGATAACAAGGACCCAGAATGTTCAGCACAAAGAGGTCAGTACACAATAGTGGTTTACTGTGCTTTTACATGTGGTGTTTTTGTTTGTTTATCTCTGTTATCAGTGTTGTTTTTTGGGTCATGCATGGCTATTACTGTTGCACAATACTGTACCTGTTAAATGTATCTTCAAAACACTAGTCCTGCAACTGCATAGCAGCATGATAAATCATGTTTTCTTTAGAAAATATTCTAAGTTCTGTGATTATTGGGTACAAACATGCATTTGCAAATTGATTTGTATGCATTTGTATTTTTTTTTCCTGCGGTTAGCATTTTTTTTTTCAATGGAATTTTCAATGGAACCACCGCATATTTAAAAATCCCAGCAGAGAGACATGCCAGAGAGCTTGGCATTTTCTTTTTCTGGTCACCAAAATGTTCAACTTTATGTAATACGCAGCGCTAATCAATGTCACATTTTACTCAGTCGTCCAATCACATTGAAGAAGAGGTGGGACAAATATTGCTGTCACATTCTACCTATAGGTTGATGACACACGGGGCAACTTTTTTTCTGTCAACGGGCAACCAGGTGAGACACAGGGCCCACAACTGATCTTAATTATCCAGATAGGAATTTTTTTTTACCCATTCTCAATGGGAAAGTGCCCAAGCAACGTTGTTAAAAAAAGTTGCCCCGTGTATCATCAGCCATACAGTGACTGAATAACAATGTAAAAGTAAATATTGCTGGTCTTCGAGTGTCCATGTCTGTATCAGATAACTACAAACTACAAAAATATTAATATGAAAAATAATTTAAAATTTTTTCATCGTTCATGCATTTAGCTAAACACTGCACCTCCAAAACGCTCTCAAAAAACGCTTTAATGGACACACAGCCTAATGTGGTTGAAATCACATGCAAAATCAAGATGATTTTGTTAACATTGACATTTGCATGCTGCAAATGTCAAGTTTAATATATAGTTTAAAATATTTACTGAGAGATGTGGAGAAGTGGCAGCAGAGGTCATTTGTTTACAATGGCTGGTGGTCTTCATATTTGATGCATTGGCCAAAACAACAGTATAGATACTTGTTCATTTAAAAAATAAGCATCATAAAATGATCTACTGAACATAAATCAGTGTGACTGCATGACTTAAACATTGGATGTAAATGCACCATGCCTAAGGCACACACAAAAGCAGTTCACACTAAGAGATGGTGAAGTGCAAGGCAGAGCAGGACGGTGAGTTTTCTAAAAGTGAACTTTGTGATGAGAATCAAACTCCGGTAGCAACTCACAAGAGATAAGAGGGCATTATCATTTAAATAGCATAGACCCCAGGTGAAAGTAATCCTGGATTCTAATAAATGCAGGCTGTTCTCGAGGTATTGCTGAAACATATGTAGGGCTCTTGAATTTTTGCTTTAGCCCTGTGATGCACCATTAGGAGGTTCAAGCGTAAAAATCTCAAGAGGATTACATAATCCTCTCCGACCCCTAACACAAACCTCATCCCCCCCTATCCCACCCCACCTCTCCGCACAGCTGTCATCCCGCATGATGGATGCCATAATCTGGATTCCTCCATATGCACTTTCCATTCCAGTATTCTGAGGGTGAAATATTCCCCTCAAGGCTTCCAGACGTGCTCTAATGGTCAGCCCAACTACATTAAAGAGGACCGACCTTAAAGGGCCTGTTTTATTTATATATTGTTAGTTTTTTCTTCTTTGTGCCAGTCAAAATGCATTCATGCCTTTTCCAGCAGCATTTCAGGATGTTTGGAAGGGAGTCTGAGGTCCTTTGAGATTTAGAGTTATTTTTAGCTGCAGCAGTACCGGGCTGTTATCTCTGCAAGAAACTCTGATGAATTGCTTGGAAAAAGTATATAATTCATTTTTATAGCTTCCTGTTGATTATATTAAAAAGTCAAAAGGGTGATTTTGACAAGAATACTCTGAAGCAAGGTTTTAAGGCAGTATTATTAGGAGAACGGTTATCCTAAAGGCAGTATTATCGAGCCTCATCTCTGGATTTGTCCCGGCTAATGGAGTAACTACGCAAGTACATGACGTAAGGCTAGAAAAGAAAGGTATTGGTTTACAGATTTCTTAGTCCAGGTGAACAAGGATCGCAGTGGCAGGTTTAACTAATCATTAATCTAAATCAAGTTGAGAGCTGTTTCTGCTTTACCTGATTAACTGAAGGCATACTGTCTGTTTAGAACAGAACAAAGCCATCTGTTACTACAATATTTGGTTATGGGTGTTTAGTTCCCTGAAAAAATAACTGTTAGCAACAGAAAACATGCTTGAGTATTGAGTATTTAATGTAATAATCATTATATATTTTAATTTATATCAAAAGCACATCCTTACATATTTTAAAAATGTAAACATATTATTTAATGAGTTATCATTTAATGAGCTGTTGCCATATAGCTGAGGTGCTCATGTGGGCAACACAAGTTTGAGTCTGGCTGATCCGATCATTTCCTGTGGTCTCTATACAAAAATGCCAAAAAATATCATTTTGAAAAGGTTCATAGAATCCAGCAAGTGATTTTTATAGGGGTTAACTAAAACTAAAACCATAAAAATGTCACTTGAAATAAAATAAATGTTAACTGAAATTAAATTTAAACTTTTTATTTTATTTTATTTTAGCTAGTTGCCAAACTAGTTTTAGTTGCTAAAACTTTAACATGAAAACAGAAAATGCAAAAATTGCTATAATAGTATGTAATAGTATATAATAGTATCCCAGTGATACTAAATACACTTTGTTGTTTACTAATCAGTTTCTCTCTCTTAATACTTAGTTTTCAATTTGTTATCCCAAAGGTAAAAAAGTCCAGTTAAAAAAACAAAAGTACAGAATTAGATATACTACTGTTCAAAGAAATGTTTCTTGAGCATATTCAAATGATTTCTGAAGGATTATGTGACACTGAAGACTGATAAAAATTCAGCTTTGCCATCACAGGGATAAATAGCATTTTAAAATATTCAAATAGAAAACATTTGTTTTCATTTCCAAAAATATTTCAAAATATTCCTGTTTTTACTGTATTTTGGATCAAATACATTATTTGTGAGCATAAGAGGCTCTGGTAGGAGTGATGCTATTTATTCTCCATAGATACAGTGTTGTAAGATGAAAGCCATTTCTTGCGGGATAAATGAAACATGCAGTCCCATCTGAATTATGCAAGAGGACAAAAAAAATGTATTTTAGACAGGCAATAGTAGGGGATGTTTTGATGTGAAGCCTGTATAGCGCATATCCTATAAACATAACCATTTTTTGGTAATAATGTAATTACCACGATCAAGGTCCAGAAACGTAGCAAGGAGATTTCTGGACGTTGATCGTGGTAATTACATTGCTGTCTATGGGAGGGTCAGAGAGCTCTCAGAAATCATCAAAAATATCGTAATTTGCGGTCCGAAGATGAACGGAGGTCTTACGGGTTTAGAACGACATGAGGGTGAGTCATTAATGACAGAATTTTCATTTTTGGGTGAACTAACCTTTTAATACACTCACTGCACTTCCTACAGAAAGTTTTGAAGGCCTCCTGAAAATAAAAGACACACTTTTCTTGAGGAAAAAGATCAGTAAAGTGGAAGAAGACCCTGAGGTTCTTAAAATATCGCCTTGGAAAGTGTATAGATGAAGTTTAATTTCCTTAGTGTCATCAGTGTAACTATGAAAAATGTCTGTGACTGAGAAATTGCCTTTAGGCCCTCCTTAATTAGTAACAAATCTTTTTATTTCTGGAGTGATTCATCCTCTAAGATATTCGTTTGTAGAGTTATACCATCTCCCACCTTGCTTAATTTAGTTTGACTTGTCTGTCTTTTGCAGAAAGGCAGGAAACTTTGCAATAACAAGAGTGTCTACCTATAAGAGCATGAAGGAACACAAAGTACTTTTCTTAGAGAGGATTGTGCAGCCTGTACTACAAACTCAAGTGCTTGTGTAATAAGCCTGCACGGAGACTTTGGCTGATGTTTCAAGAGTGATGGGGGGCATGAATGCAACCGTGCAATTTATAGTCATATTGAAATTTGCTTGGCATTGCTGAGAAACTTATGCAAATAATATGCATTTGATTGCAGCGTATTAAATAATTTTATATTGCATCCACATCTCCAGAGAAATATACTACTCATTTGAATACACTCTTTAAAACTGAAGGGCACATTTTATAATAATCTAAATTGTGTTTGACAGGTTGGACAAAATAACCTCTCAGAAAAATTGATTGGTCTCTGGTTTCTGTCTAACAGAGTGTCTCTCCTGGCTTTTAATAGAAATGCTGAATATCTTTCTTCTTGCCTTGTTAAATTGTGCATATTTTGAGGTCTGCTTTTTGTCTGATGATATTTAAATATGAATGAATAATCGAATATTTTTTTTAGCATTAGGATGAGGTTTTATTTGCATTTGTGATCGGAGAAATGACAAACAACAAGCGCTACTC